AATAATAATAATAATAATAATAATAATAATAATAATAATAATAATAATAATAATAATAATAATAATAATAATAATAATAATAGTAAAGTTGGAAGGGACCTTGGAGGTCATCTAGTCCAACCCCCTGCTCAGGCAGGAAACCCTATACCATTTCGGACAAATGGCTGTCCAGTCTCTTCTTAAAAACCTCCAGTGTTTTATCTCTGTTCACCTTAGTAGTTTCCAAAGGCTCTGATGCTTTCATCAAAACGTGTCTCTATATGTATGGCGCGTCGGGGAACTACCAGAGGACTGGAAAAAAGCTGATGTAGTTCCCATCTTCAAAAAAGGAGAGGAAAAAAAAAAAGATGTGGGAAACTACAGACCTATCAGCCTGACCTCAATACCTAGGAAGATTCTGGAAAAGATAATCTAGCAATGAATCTGCAAAGACCCAGAGGCAAACAAAGTCATTACCAAAAGCCAACACGGGTTTGTCAAAAACAGATCATGCCAGACAAATCTTATTGCATTCTTTGACCAAGTGACAAAATTAGTGGACCAGAGGAATGCTGTGGATATAATTTACTGGGACTTCAGGAAGGCATTTGATAAAGTAGACCACAGCCTACTACTTGAGAAGATAGAAAAATGCGGGTTAGACAGCATCACCACCAGATGGATCCGTAGCTGGCTGACCGGCCGTACTCAGCGTGTGGTCCTCAATGGAACCGCATCTACATGGAGGGAAGTGTGTAGTGGGGAGCCCCACGGCTCTGTTCTGGGCCCAGTGCTCTTCAACATCTTCATCGACGATTTGGACGAGGGGATAGATGGGGAACTCATCAAATTTGCAGACGACACCAAGCTGGCAGGAATAGCACCTCACTTAACAACTGTGGCAAGAAAGGTCCTAAAATGGGGCAAAACTCATTTAACAACTATCTCAATTAGCCACAGATTTTTTTTTCAATTGTAAATGGCCCAGAGTTATTGTTTGAGATGGGGGATGGGGTGGGGGTGGGCTAAAGAAATCGAATAAACAAACAAAGGTTTGCAGAATAAACCATGGCTATACTAGAACTATATTAGAACTAAGGAGAAACTTCCTGACAGTGAGAACAATTAACCAGTGGAACAACCTGCCTCCAGAAGTGGTGAATGCTCCAACACTGGAAATTTTTAAGAAGAGACTAGACAGCCATTTGTCTGAAATGGTATAGGGTTTCCTGCCTGAGCAGGGGGTAGGACTAGATGACCTCCAAGGTCCCTTCCAACTTTATTATTATTATTATTATTATTATTATTATTATTATTATTATTATTATTATTATTATTATTATTATTATTATCATCATCATCATCATCATCATCATCATCATCATCATCATCACAGTTCAGCTTGTTACACAAACCTTGCTAGTTAGGGGTTATTCAATACATCATGGTTTCAAATTGTGCCATACAGTATGAGGTGTTAAGCAAATTCAGGGTTTTTCTTTTAGCCAGCTTTAAGCCATGTTTTCTTCAAAATACGAAATGCAGTTTGNTTACACGAGCGTGCCTGATTTTACCTGTTTTGTCACAGTTATTAACAAGTCACTTGCAGCTGTTAAGTGAATCATGCAGTCATTAAGCGAAAAACGTGGTCATTAAGCGGGTCCGGCTTCCCCCATTGACTTTGTGTGTCGGAAACTGGCTGGGAAGGTCGCAAATGGAGATCACGTGACCCCGGGATACTGCAACTGTCGTAAGTACAAGCCAGTTGCCAAGCACTCAAATTCTGATCATGCATGTTGGAATGTTGCAACAGTTATAGCAAATCGTGCTTGAAACATGTTTGCCAAAATGAGGAAGGAAAAGGAAGAGGGAATGAATTTAGACTGGGTCCCTCCAGATGATTTGGACTCCATTTCCCATCATTCCTAGCCATCTGGAGATACGATATCTAAGTGGAAAAGGTGGGTTAATTCAATAAACCGTGATTCAATTAAGCATGGACCGACATGTTGTGGGAGCATAGAAAATGCTACAAAATCCAGAATTGGCTCTAGGATGTCTACAGAGTGTGGTCAAAAAAGTAAGGCGGGGGCCACACTAGTGTGATTGAAGCTCCACCCATTTTATGGGTTTTAATGAATTGTAGGCACCATCTTGACTTTTTTGCTCACATCTTGCAGACTCCCCTAACCTTCTTTTCCGATCTTGAGTTGCTAGCCACACTTTTCTCCAAGGTGGCAAGGAAGAAATTTTCCAGCATTTCTTCCAGTGTTATATGGAATGCTCAAGGAATTCTGGAAGGTTGAAAGTTTCCCATAGTTTTCTTGACCACCCCCACCAATCCTGACAGGGCAAGCCACTAGCGCAGGGGTCTTCAAACTTGGCCACTTTTTAAGACTTGCGGACTTCAACTCCCAGAATTCCTCAGCCAGGCAGGGCCAAGTTTGAAGACCCCTGCGCTAGAATATAAAATAAGAGTAAACCCCACTCCCTTCTAGCACTGATGACGTTACCTAGTTGGGTCATGAAACGTCTGCAAGAAGACAACCAAGCTTCGGGAGCACCAAGGGATCCATCACTATCTCAACGACTAGTAAACCCCACTGCAGCGGTCTCCAAATTTAGCCGCTTTAAGACTTGTGGACTTTAACTCCCAGAATTCCTCAGTCAGTCCTGCTGGCTGGGGAATTCTGGGAGTTGAAGTCCACAAGTCTTAAAGTTGCCAACTTTGGACTCCCCTGCCCTGCTGGGATGGTGTCGTCCTCCTTTTCAGGCCCAAAGATATATTTCTCTCCACATGGAGGCTCCATCAGTGGTTCAGCCGGACGTGCTCCCGTTTCCTTTCTCCAGCACGTCCTGGAAAAACTCCGAGCCATCAGAAATTGATCCGCCAATCAATTATGCAGATCTATGGAGACTGGATTGCCCTTTTGATTCTCTCCGCGCTTTGCAGCACGCAAGGCTCTGCAGCCCCGGGGTCCCCATATTCAAATCCAAATCCGGGGCTACGAGAAGACCCCCCCATCCCTCCCCCAAAAACCAGTCCCGTGCATGGCGAACCAGCCTTTGCAGCAAATGCAACCCGGGTCCAGAGGAAATGAGTGGTTCATTCAGTCGCGGATCAAACTGTCGTGGGGAAGCACCCAGCCGATTCCCGCGGGTCGTGGCTTGGCTTGGAAGCAGAGGGGATCCCCCGGCGCCCCCCCCCCAGCCCCCAATCTGATTAAAATGGACCCCGCATCCTACAAGCCCAAAGCTCCAGCCGCGAAGCGGGCGTGGCTGCCTCCCTCTGAGCCGCGCCCTCCCCGGGGGAGCCTTATTAGCCCTTCGCCGAGGAAGCGTCGCTACTTTGAGCCGGCCGGGGTGCGAGTCCCGGGGCCGCAGGCGCGTCTGAGCCGCTGCTTCCTTCTGTTGCTGCTGCTGCTGCTGCTGCTGCTGCGCGGCTCCGGGCTGCTGGCCTTCGGTCCGGGATGGCGCTGGTCTCCGACGAGCTGCCGGCGCCCAACTTGACGCGCGTCAGGATCCGCCCGCAGGGCTGCGGCCCCGGGGCGCTGCTCGACCGCTTCGGGGTCTTTGTGCAGGCGCTGCTGGCCCTGGTCGCCTTCAGCACGCTGATGCGTGAGTGTTGCCGGCTTTGCTTTCCCTTTCTCGCCCACTTTCTCTCTTTGCCCTTCCTTCCTTCCTTTTTGCCCCTTGTTTCTTTCGCTTTCTCTTGGCTTTCTCTCTCTTTGCTCCTTTCTCTTTTCTTCTTCCTTCCTTCTTTTTTCCCCTTGTTTCTTTTGCTTTCTCTTGTCTTTCTCTCTCTTTGCTCCTTTCTCTTTTCTTCTTCCTTCCTTCTTTTTTCCCCTT